TGACTGTAATGACCCCCTGCATTAGCACTGGCTCCCATTTTCATTTCAGAGCAATGATTATTCTGCTCTGTGTATCCCAAGATAGAAGGTGATGACAGGCTAAAACCTCACTAACTATATTCAGGAATAAGAGAGAATGAAGCAGGAACCTAATCGAAGTGTATAAAATCTGAAATGGCACAAATAAGGTCAGCCTAGTAACTTTTTTTTCTATCTCAGCACATTTGATAGAACAGGGGACCATAAATGATGGTTAAGTGAAAAGCAGCAGATCCAGAGTGCCCGGAAGCATATTTTCACACTGAGATTTACACTGCAGGATCAATTGAAAGGGTGAAATCAGGCACCACTCTTCATGTGGAAAAAAAAGTCATTGAGTCACATTGATCCCACGTGAAGGCAGCAGAGAGGAACCTGCCACCCCATGCAGCTGTCTGCCCTGGGAGATGTCACAGGGGAAGAGAGGGTGCTCCTGCTCTGCCCACCCAGCCCAGGTCAATCCCTCATGGAGCTGTGGCACAGGGGTTCAAATGGAAGGCAACCTGTAGGTGATGGTCGTGTTTCTGAAGGGTGATAATTATATAGGAGCAAGATTTCCCATTAATATGGGTAGGAAACAGGTAGAAATCAATTGTATATAACTTGTGTCTGTGGTACAGGAGAAAACTTAGGAAACAATATTTAAGTATTGTTTTAATAGAGTTGGTTTGAAGAAAAATACTGAATTTCTCATTACTAACTGTGCTCTTTGAACAAAAGAAACAGAAGAAAAAGTGAAGGTTTCTGTATACAGAAATCTTTCTGAACATGAGAGTCATATCACATTGAGAGCACAGGGGAAATGTTTAAAGCTTTGCTGATGGTCATTTTGTTTTTTTAAGGAATGAAATATAGTAATAACACTGGTCAGTCAGGATAAAGATCCTCATTCCCCCCAGTATCAGTTGTGGCATCCACCAGAGTGAACCAGTTGTTCTTCTTTGTGCATGGCTCTGCTTCCCTGTACAATGGGAAAATGTGCCCATAGCAGAAAAACTAGTAAGTGGTTGCAGGCATAAATAATACTGTCCCTTTCCCCACAGACAGTGCTAACAAAGGTTAGCAGTGAGGAGTATCTGCATCATTTTTGAGGGTCCACCTCCTGGAGGAGGAGTTACCTGGCATCACATAAAATTGGGCTCCAGCGTTACACTTCACAGAGTTTTTGTCATGAGAAACACTCAAATCACAGCAGTAACTCAGCAGAGGGTTTTTTAATGTATGATTCTTTCAGCTTGCAGTGAGAAATAAGTGGATATCTTTGATGGCAGTGAAGCTTTAAATATCTTGCTCTGTGTTGTCATTGATACAATGCTGAAATCCAGGAGTGTGAACCAGGAAAACAGTATTTGGTTATTGCTGGTGAAGATGAAAAAAAGAGCATAGTCCAATGAAGCTGTAGTGAGCACTGCCTAATTTGGAAAGAAGAAGTTTCATTCCCACTTTGTTTTACTGGATAAAAGGCTCTGCTGTCCCTGAAGGACTGGGGAAAGAGGTTTTATGAGGCATCATCAGAGTGTGTAGGAAAACTTGGCCAAATGGGCCCCACGGCCAGACTGAAAATTGAGTACAGCTTTCAAACTGAAAGGAAAAGCATACGTTGAAGAGAACAAAGCATCACCACACCAGAAACATGTCCCCTTCCTTTTGGAGGGAGACACTGGGGTTTGCTTCAATGTATTCCTCTGGTCTCTTCTATCAAACCCAAGAACCATACTCCAGCACCTGCCTGCAGCAATGCATTGCCTTTTACAATTGCTTCAGAGGAAGCTCCTTGAAGGAGCAGTGAGTGACAGGGAGGTAAGCACTGACTTGTTATGTACTCCAGCACTTCCTCAGCTTTTACTAGCGATGGAGCCCCACAGGTATGAGCACAACAGGGATGCTCTTTTTGTAGCATAGGCAAGCCTGGTACTGCATTTGCTCTAAGCAGAAACAGATCTGTGTTGAACTCACAGGGCATGCTGGCTATTCCTCCTTCAGTGCCTTCTGTTTCTTACAACAGCAGCAGGGCCAGCAGAGAGGGGCATCAGATATCTCCTTCACCATTGATGCAAACAAGCAACAGAGGCAGCTGATTGCAGAGCTTGAAAATAAAAACCGGTAAGCACCCACAAGGCATCTGGGGGTTTTCAGTCTCATGTATTTTCCATGTCTGATTGTTGCTTAACATGTTTTATCACCTACTTCTGGGCAATATGCTTAAACATGCACAGGCACCTCGGCCTACGAAAAGCACAGAGCACAAAAAGATCCCCTGAATGTGACAAAGGCTCTGAAATCCACAGCCACCATGCATTTAATGAGTGTGCTGCTCAATGATGTGATGTAATCATTGATATTTTACTGTTTGCAGCTGCTGTTTGTTGAGTTTAAAAAAAAAAAAAAAAAAGCCTGTCCTGTTTGAAAACCAGATTAGCTTTGAGATGGATCCTCTGTAGCACTATAATGTGAAACGATAAAAGGATCAGTCACACTGGTAATGTTATGCTCCCCTGCTTTTATTTGTGAAAAGGATGATTAAAGCTCTCCAGAACAGGCTGCCTGGGAAAGGTTTACAGAAAGGTTAGCAGCAAGTTAGGCTGCTGATCAAATGAGCCACTGAGTCCAGATGTGACCGAGAGAGAATGTCCAGGAGAAATAGGCCAGCTGGCCCCAAAAAGGAGCAGTGCCCATTTGTTAGCAAGAGAGGAACTGGCCCTGGGTATCAGACTGCCTGATGCCATGAAATGTGTGACAGCAGAGCTCTGCTTTACTGCTGGATGGTAAAATAGAGGCCAGCCCAGACCAGATGGTTTCCTATTCCAAACTCTGCACTGCCTTCTGTCACCGCGTAATGAGCCACCAGCTCCAGTCTCCGTTTGTCGTTCATAGTTCAGGGCTGCCTCCTGCCCGCCTGCTGTCCAGCCAGGGGTGAAGAGGAGACAGAATTCACAGAGGTTCCACCCTTCTGCTGCACAGCTTTGTGTTAGCCTTTTGACAGCACTCCAGGGCTGGCGAGCTGGTCGTAACAAGTCCTGTTAAAGCACTTCTCCATGGACTGTTGACCACTCTCACATCTCTGCTTACACTAAAAGTGTATTTTTAAGTGCTGAGTATTTTCTCTGATAGGAAGGGCCAGATAAGTTATTTTTTCTTAAGTTCATGTGGTGCTTGAAATGTTTATGGAGAAGAAATAGAAGGGAGCAATGTAATTGAGCATAGAGCTATTTAATGCCTACCTCTGATTTTGGGGGACCTTGAAGAAATGTTTCCCTTTATGGTAAAATCCTAAAAGTTTATTTTAAAATATCCAGAGCCCTTTCCCATTGCCGAGGGCTTCTTTTGTTGGTTGGAGACCAGTCATTATATCTACACTGATGAAGAGCTATATATAATCATATTTCTTCTCCTCTTGCAATGTCCAGGAAGCTGGTTTTGTGGAAAATGACTGACTTGCACTCCTCTTCTTCTTCCCCTTCCCAAGAGAAATCCTGCAGGAGATCCAGAGGCTGCGACTTGAGCACGAGCAAGCGTCTCAGCCCACACCAGAGAAGGCACAACAAAATCCCACTCTGCTTGCAGAGCTCCGGCTCCTGAGGTAAGCCCACAGTGGTAAAACATCCACCCAGCCATTGCTGGGGCCAACCAGTCATTCTCAGTCAACAGAGAAATAAGAGCTAAGCCTGGCTTACAGTTTTGGGGGCTTTTTTACATAAATAATGCAATGTGTGGTTTTTTCTCCCTTTTCAGTGCAGGCTGTAGTCCTAGAAGTAATTAAGTTTGTGCTTTAAACTATGCAGGAGGAATCTCATCCACACTGTAATTAAGCATGTGCACTAGCATTTGCAGAGTTAGGCCCTTAGGTCATTTGGAATAGGTCCCCACTGCCCTGTCCAAATGCCATTAATTATATGGGGAAAAATGTCCTGTCAGAGAAAATGCTTCTACAAAGATTTTTCTTTTATGCTAAAGTAAATACAGAGATACATGGAAATACAGCCAGAATGAGACGTTAAGTTTTGGAAATTTCCCCCATGTGTTGAACTCTGAGGAGAGGTCAGATCTCTTCCTGGTGCAAAACCAGGCTGCAGAATGATCCTCCCTGTCACATGAGAAGTGAGTGGCAATGTCATCTGCAGCAGCTGAAGATCTGGAGGATCATTTTTCTAGTTTTCCCACCAAGTTAAAACGTTGATATGGGTGTGTCTGCATGTTAATTGGCATGCTCTACATGGATTTGCTAATTGCCATGTGTATCACATTGAAGGAGTACAGTTGTCATTGGAACAGATCTGTAGGTTCCCTGCAAGTCCTGAAGTTCCTGTTGTAAAAGCCAGACAGAGAATCCAGCAAAAACTATCCAAAACACTTCATGTGGATAAGAATAGAGTGTAAACACTTTCTTTCTAGTGAAACAATGCTAGATTAAATTTTATCCCCCCCTTGCATAGAGCAGTTCTCTCATGAGAAGTCTAAAGAACATTTTTGGTCACTTAGCCACTCCTCACTCATCACCAAAGGAAATTACTATATGAAATTGTGCTACATTTTTTCTTTACAAATGCTGTATAGTTTTATTATTGAATTTTCCACACTAAAATATTTTCCTGTTTTGCAAGTAATCACATTTGCTTTCCAATCTGAAGATTAAGTTAGCTTGTTCATTTCTGTGAGTGATTTTAGTCTAGAAGTACTTCTGGATATCTACAGGCAAGTGACATTCTGTGAGACATATAAAACTGTAATGAAAAAGTGTACACTGCATAAAATGTACCAATAATGTAGCTCCTGTGCATCAAGCCTAAAGTCTGTTTTAAGCAGGTTTAGGAGATTTGCTTTCTATGTTGTTGAAAAATAAGATTCATTATCTTTAAAAAAAAATAAAAAATCAAATGATTGTGCACTCTTAGTGGAGTGACTACTTAATTTTTCCTGCTTTTCAGTTTTGCTACACATATTAAAAGCCTAACATCCTTATTTGAGTTTCCTGACACTGGATGTCCCTAGCACACTGAAGCTGAGTTCTTCAATTACAGTGTCTTTCCTGATTTACTATGCACTGTCAGAGGCAGAAAATAACTTTTCATCTGTGGGTCTGTACTGCTTTGCAGACCTTCTAAAACGTTCACCATCCAAAAGGCAAAAGAATGACTTTTAATTTGCTGTGGAATTTCAACAACCCCTCAAATTCCTAGATGCTTGAGGTGTCAGGAGGCTGTTAAGAACCTCACACCTTTTACACCTCGTGTGAAACAGCAGGACTCAGAACAGCAGCACTGATTAACAGTGATGTTAACCCACAGGTTTTGGGGCTTGAAGCAGTTAGGGCAGCAGGGCAGTTTACCTCATGTAACATTAAGAAATGCTGGAATCTGTAAGTTGTGTTGTGGGTACCTGTCCCAGCATCTTTCACTAGGTGCTGTAGTGTTGCAGACACACAGAAATGAGGTTCTGAACACAGAGTTCCTTCACATTACTGGTGCTGTCTTGGAGACAGGTTGGAAAGTCCATTATTTCCAAGAACTTGCTCTGGAGTACAGTGGGAGAAAACAGTCAGAGGAGAGGTCTGTACATTGTACACTGCTTAGATCCTTTCCACAGAATGTCTCTAAAGCCCAAAATGAATCTAAAACCCAGCAGAGGTCTGTGCTAGGACCTGTCACTTTGAATTGCATGGATGCTTTTGTACAGTTCAGAGCATTTCCACCCATTATATGCCTGGAAAAAGAAAAAAAAAAAAAAAGCCAGCAGAAGCAATTGTAGCAGAAAATAGATTGCTCCTCCAGAAGGGTAAATACAACCTGGCAGTATTACTAGATGATCCTGTTGCATAGGTGAGAGATACCACACATGAGCAACCCTGCAGAAGCCAGTGTTGCTTGTATCAGCAACTGCTCACTTACAGAGAAGGCTCAAAATCAGGGGCTTGAACCTTCTCTGTAAGTGTGGGGTTCTCAGAACCCCCATCCTGTGCAGTGGAGCTGTGCAGAATCAAAGCTGTTCCCTTTACATGGGTGCAGACTGGCTCTCACAACCATGGCTGGCTCAGTATTTGCATTGTCACAGTGTCACAGGACCACCACTGGACTCCAGGTCCAAAGAGCTGTTTCCAAGCAGTTGTAGCTCCACTGCATGATGGTCTTACTCTTGCTTTCAGAAAAAAAAAAATAAGGAAACTAAAGCAGATCACTGATTTTCTCACTGAATTCTGAACTCTCTTAGCTTCTCTCCTATCTTGCTCTGTTTGGTGTCCCTGCTGTAATTTGCTGTTCTTCAGGGCATGGCTTTAATTTCTCCTGACACCGAGTGAGGTTATTGACTAGAGAGATCCACAGACAAAAATTGCAAGACATTCCCAAGAGGGGATAAAACACAAATTTTTTGGAATTTTGTTTGTTCTGTGCAGAAGGGTCTGTGTCCCTGGCTTTTTCCTAATCACTATATTGGGTCCCTTAAATATTCCCAGTATGAGGGAGCTCCCTGGCTTTCCTGGAGCCCTGTCTTCACCCAGTGTGTTTGCTTCCCCATGGTCTATAGATATAGACCTCATAGTCAAGCTGGGGGAAGGATGCAGTTGAAAGCTGCTGACAGTGTGAAGGGATAAGCTCTGACTGAATCTGCTTGTTTCCCAGACAGAGGAAGGATGAGCTGGAACAGAGGATGTCTGCTCTCCAGGAAAGCCGGAGGGAGCTCATGGTTCAGTTGGAAGGCCTCATGAAACTGCTGAAGGTAAGGAGCTCCACCTGATACTACCAAGGAGAACAGGCAGACTGAAGTGAGAGAGGAGAGGGAGGAGATATGACCACAGAATTTTGCAGAGCTTGACTATTTCCACCTGTTAAATTTGGCTTTCTTTCCTTCCCTTTCTGTATTTTGCCTTTGTCTTTCAGTTTAAGGGTTTCAAATGGTGCTCAGTTGATGTTGTTCTGCAGTAACACTGCACCATCATTGTCACCTACTGCTAAGTGGATGGAATGTCAGAGACAGACTCTGAACTATTGAGGAATTAATATAGTCATTTAAATGATGCTGCAGCATGATGCAGTACCATCCTGTTTTCCTCTCTTGTACAAGGACTTGGCCACATCTCTGGATTTCAGGCTAGCTATCTCTGCATCAGCTATTCAGCAATATCCAAACAAACAATTTTGTGGTCCAGTTTTGGGTGTTCTTCAAGTTTTCTCTGTTGAGGACATGAAATACAGAAGAAAGGGGGGGGAATAAAACTAAGAAACAAACCAACACATAAAACAAGTTAATGAGTAACTGTGAGAAAAACAACTCAGCACTGTACACTGTTTGCTGCTCCAGCTGACAGTACAGAATTGCTTTTGCTAGCTCCTTTAACTTTCCCCATCCAACTGCTAGTTGTATCAGATGTGCCATTTGACCACCACATCTCTCTGATCTTCCAGATGCTTCCCCAATGCTACTTGCTCATTTTCATAAATACAGAAACAGGCCCTTGTTAAACAGAGGAAACACAGCCCAACAGGGGGACTCAGTTAAAAAGGAAGATATCAAAAAAGCATGTGCATTTTTAAGATAGATTCCAAATTTAGCTTTCTTTTCTGTTCTTCACTTACATCCTGGCTAATCTCTTTTTCTTTAGGAAGAAGAATTGAAACAGGTAGTAAGTTACCTCCTTGAAGGCCTCACTAACTCCTAAATGTGATTGTGTTCCTATGATTTATTTTATATCGTTTGCTTGAAATGTGTGCGTGTTCTTTTGACTCAAATTAATATTTTGGAATTCTTTCACACGTTATTTTCAAGGGTCTTGGAGCAATTTTCACAATTAAGTATCTTAGCCCTCTAGAAAGTGAGTCATGGCTACAAGAAGTCTTGATCTTTTTCTCACTCCTCTAAATAAGAACACGTAAGATCTGGAAACCACCACCCAAATGTAGTGAAACCAACGTAGAATATGACTGAAAGAAGGCTTCTACCACAGATAACATTTTGAAAATGTAATGAGAACTTTGGATCTTTAAGAAAAACATAACTGAGTTTAAATGAGACCAGGGCAATGAGTTTGAAATCCCACATTACCCAGAAAAAGTCAGGGCATTGTCTGCATATCTTTTAAGGCTTGTTAATGCTAACAGCCCCACAAGTCTTCAGGAAAATGATGTAGTTTTTAAAAGGCTTCTGCAACCTGGATCAAAGAGGGCAAGTATTTATATTACTGCTGCTAAATTTTAGAAGATTTAACTGGTTTGGAGCTTTTAAGTATCGAAATGGATCTTGGAAAGATATTAGGCTAAAAAAAAAGGCACTTCTCAGGCAGCAGTCTGATTTATGACTCCAATAAAAATGTTTAATTTTAACAAAACACTTCCTCCTGCTTTCATCACTAGAAGTACAGTCACAAGTCTTGTGTTCTGTCTGTGGAAGAGCATGCAGAGTTTGTGGGTAATGCTCACCTTCCTAAAACTAACATTTTGGCTAATTTTTCAAAAGCATCAAGCAGTTGCACACAAGAAAATAAATCTGGCCCAAGATCACCTCCATGTAAGGGCTGTCTTTTCTGATTCTGCAGTACTCCATGCACAAAAGAGAAGCTTCCAACGTGACAGCAGTTTCCCTATCATGTAAAATGTCCACTGGACAGTATAAATGAAAGCACATTTTCAGGCTATGAGATATGATTCTTTTTTGCAGACTAATAGCCTTGCTGAATACCAGGTGATGATGCCAGAGAATTACTCTCAATTTCCATTAAATGATCCCCATTACGCTGTGCCATTTTCATCTGTTGAGAGAAACAGGATTAAATTAATTTCTGGAGGAACTCAACTGGAATGAGCAGCCTGGCAATTCATCTAACGCTTATGGACCTTCTATTTCTCTCCTGCCCTTCCTTGAGGAAGGATAACGAGTAGCTCCCATCCGTGTGGTGGGATGAGGCTGAGACAGGCTCTCCCCGTGTCGTCCCAGCTCAGCTCCGGCAGAGGGAGCAATGGGCTAAAGCTCCTCTGAAGCCACTCTGCATTTCAGGCTTTTCTCTGAAGCATGCATGACATCTGCTACTGGGAAATCTTTCCCTGTCCAGCAAGAGTTCACTGAAAAGCCATAGCAGGATGAGTAGGGATGGTGATTTAAATAAAATACATGGAAATTTTCCTAGAAGACATGAGTACATTGATAGCAGCAACCAAATACAACATAAAAGCTGAAGCCATCCACATATCCATGGTGGCTGTGGGGGCTTCCCTTTCAGCACACAGTCCTCAGCTGGTGGGGCTGCCAAAGTGGTGCTCGAGTTGGGAGCAATCTGGTGCTCAACTTCTCTGCTGAGACTGTTATGATCATCATAGCAGGTTTCAGACTGTTGGCTCTAGCCTGTGAGAACCTTGTTTCTCCTGGTAACCACTAAGCAGGAATCCAAAGCTAACAGCACTCCATCCCCACAGACTTGGGCTGAGTTGAATCTGGGTGAGTAAAGTTTAACTGAAGTAAAGCAGGTATCCCCAAATATCCTCCTACTTCAACTTGCTGTTCATCAGTTCTGTCTGGTGCTGCCCAAATTGGATAAAAACAGAGGAGTTTTTTAGTGGAGAGGGGACTCCAAGTGTTTCTTCTCCCTGTGCTTCCCAAACAGTTTGTCCCAAGACTGAAAGCTACAGATAAGGGAGCACTGTTTATCCTAAACACAAGATCTCAGTCGTAGCTGCAGAGGAAACACAAGGGTAAGCACTGGTGTGCAGCAGCTTTTAGATTTCTCTTGTGGGAAAATTCCAGCAAAGTACTGGCAGGCATCTGTTATTTTTAGTAAATAAAATGCCTCTTCTGAAGTTCACTCCTTGAATGTGACTTGACTATAGAAAGCAAATTTTGTCCATTTTTTTTCTAATCTTCTCTGAAAGTTCCTGCTGTTGTTGGTGTTCCTCAAACCTGAGATCAAAGGCAAAGAGGAGCTGAGGGAGAAGAGCAAGCAAACGAGGGAGCTGAGAACCAGAAATTCTTACACAGATTTGTTTCACAGAAGCTGAAACATGAAAGGAGGTAGCTGTAGGTCCCAGACCCCTGGCCTGATGTGCAGGGGGTATGACCTCTGAGGACCTTGGAGGGTCTCCACATTGCTCTGTGCCCTGCCTCTGGAAGACTCAAGATCTGCATTTCCACTGCAGTGGGTACAGATGATTCCAGAAACAGGAGAGCATCTGGCCTTTATATATTCAACTTCCCTTTCATCCATCATTTAAATGTTCTAAAACCAATCATTAAAGAAATTATAAGTATTAAATCCTCCATTCTCCCATCAGTAAAGTGCTTATTCCTCATAAACCTAATTTGCCCTTGATGTCTCTCTGGTGATAATGTCTCTTAGAAAGGGGTGATTGAAGAAAAGAACAAATAGCTTGGTATTCTGATACATTATTTATGGTCCAGGGCAGGAATTTATAAAAATCTCAAGGGCAGTGCCACACTCTTCCTGCAATAGGCTGCTGTTGTCTTTTTTAGAACATATCTGCCAAACCAAATCAGGGCTGCAGTGGCAAACACTCCAGGAGTCAAAATAAATGCTGTGGGAAGAGTTAAGAAGTTCTCTTGAGTTCTCAATATAAAGCCAAGTTGAGGGAACCCCCAGCCCTCGGGTTACTGTTCACTGTGAACAACCAGGGCCATGGGTCTCAGTTCCCCTTTAACAGCCCTCAAGCCACCTCCATCCTTGGCATCTACCAAACACAGGTTTTCAGTCAAAAGCCGTGTGCAGTTTGGTCTGGGCTCCAGCATTTGGTTTTCCTTATGTGGAGACACATTCCCAGGGGTTTTGAAACAGGGGATGGAAGGGGCACTGTGGCTCTTGGTATCGCTCACCCAGCTGTGTTTGTAAAAATGGGTTATTTTGTCAAGTCTGCTTGAGTTTCAGCTAAGTGACACTAACTGTGAGGTGCTAACAGCATGACATTGTATACGGCTGGTGTTCAAACATTTTCACTTCCAGCAGCTGAACCCATAGCAGGAATTTATATTGCCCTGTCCCCACAGTGTTTTGGGAGTGCCTGAGTGTGTCCTGTAGACTGAACGATTTAACAGCGTGTGATTTAATAGTGGCTTAAAAGAGTTCTCTAGCTCCAAATAAAAAATGGAGAGTGTTAAAAAACAGGGTATTTTTTATTGCAAGTGTCAGACTATGTGACTGAGAGGCTGCACGTACCGTGGTGCTCTCCTGCAGGGAGGTGGAGGGCAGGGCTGTGATCAGCTCTCCTGGCAGCTCTGGTGGCAGGGGCTGTCTGGGTCCCTTGCCCAGGCTGAAAGCCAGCCCCGTGCCACCATCCTCCCCCTTCCCCCAGCCCACGTGGGTGGAGTTTTACCAAGCGTGTGTGTGAACTGGGGCAGTGAGAGAGGGACAAGGGCAGAGAGGAGGGCTATACTTTGGTGTTTCTTAACTTTTTTTTTTTTTAATGTAGTTGCCTGACATTTTCCCATGCTTGAAGGAAGTCAGATCTTGACTCATATTTTCCTACCCTGCTATTTTTCTGCGTTGCCACACTCTAACAACTGACTTCAGTGCATTCTTTTTTAGCCAAGTGAGCATTACCCAGCTGATCTACAACCAGCATGATGCCTTTAAGCTAGGGTGACGAGGACAGCAGGTGAGGGCTCTTGCAAAGACCCGTCTAACCCCCTGTGATTGTTTTGCAGACCCAAGGGGCAGGCTCCCCACGTTCCTCACCCAGCCACACCATCAGCCGACCGATTCCGATGCCCATCAGGTCTGCCTCTGCCTGCTCCACCCCGACGCACGCGCCTCAGGACTCGCTGACCGGGGTGGGAGGAGATGTGCAGGAAGCCTTTGCACAGAGTAAGTCTCACCCACAGCTTGTCTGGGGGACTTGGAGATTTTCAGGAGGTCGTCATTTCTTACGGTTAATGACTAATGAAACTTGAGCTTCTGATTTGCATGCAATGAAATGGAAAAACAAAAAATTCTGCAATAACTGTGTTGTGGTTTTGAAAATGGGCTTGGTCAGCCAGCAGGCTGTGCTGTCCAAGCAGGTAAGCAGAAACTGGACAGGGACTTTTGATGCAAGATAGTCAGACTAGTTATCAAATGCTCTCTTAATCAGAAGAAGAATTGCTGTTGACCTCAGCAAGGGGTTGTCATTGTGTTTGGCTTTAAATAAAGACTTTGCTAGGAGTAGATGGTACAGTCATAGAATTGGTTCAGGTGGAAAGGGTTCTTGTATGTCACCATGTCCTCCTGCTCCAAGAAAGAGGGCTTCAAAGTGAGATCAGACCATTCAGGACCTTAACCAGTTGAGTTCTGGGTGGCTTCTAGCACACATTTTCCACAGCCTCAGTTCCAGTGTCTGACCATGCTTACTGGGCAATTTTTTTGTCCTTGTGTCTGACTGGAACATCCCATGATGGAACTGGTGACTGTTATCCATTGTCCTTTTGTTTTGGGCCTGTGAGAAGGGTCCAGCTAGACAGGAATTGAATCTGGAGGTCGTGGTGAATCCTTCCTTTGCATTTCCAGAAAACTGCTGTAGGCTGCATCGTGTTTCTCACTCCTCTTTCCACTCTTTAGTCAAGTAACAATAAATTTTAAACTGTTTTGCATTTCAAAGGCCACAGATTAAATGATTATGTTGAATGCTGAAGGAAGTAAATAGTCTGTGTGATCTAAATGGAGACATATTTCTTATTTTTCTCATCTACTTTCTTCTGAAATATTAACGTCACTGCATTTCTTTTATATGAATAATTTTTTTCCCTGTTTCCCTAGTACAAATCAAATGTAAGTAGGGCTCTGGAGTTCTTCTAGAGTGAAAGCATGCTTGTTCCCAGGAGCCCAGTTCAGCACTCTCATGCACCCTTCCCCTTGATATTCAGGGGAATTGTGTCTGTGCCTATCTTAAGACAAGGTTGAATCTATAATGCAATTAAGAACCTTTTACTGAAGTGCTAGTCAATTTGTGTATTGAAAATGGGCATAATTCCTGGTCCCAACAGAACAGTTTGCTGGATTTCTCATTTTCTGTGGCAGAAGAAACAGGAAAGACATATTTTTCTTATTTTGGTGTGAAAAAAAAAATCGAGACAGGCAAAAATATGGACCTCTAGCCCCTATCCTGTTATAGGACACTTCCTTCCAGAGCTAAGGGTAAGAGCAGTAATGTAGTGGCCACAATAAAATAAAACAATTGACAATACTAAGGCTGCCTCAGGCAAATGCTTTTTAGGTATATAAATGTGTTCTGTTCAAGAAAAAAGGCAATATAAAAAGGCAAGCAATCACATTTAAGAACTACTGCATTTGATAAATATCTAGCTTTATGTCATTATTTCCCATATTCTCTACATGGGAAGGTCAAACCCAAAGAACATGAAGCCACCCATCCTGTCACTTGACATACAGCTTTGAGGGGGTGGGGGAAGTGAGCTGAGATTTTAAGGCTCCATTCTGTGCTGCACCAACAGAGATCTGTCTCTATATGTGTAATGCAGACAAGCTGTAGTTAAAGCACAGCTTCTCTTTTGGTTTTTTTTTTTCCTCTTTCATCATGTTTACAATAGTTCTGATACAAAATTGAGAAGACTTTAGAGAGGGAGTGGCTGTCTGAGTGCATGTGTGTCTGTGTAAGAGAGAGATTCACGAGTTTAATTTACAATCCAGTAATCATTTGCTAATGGATATATTAAAAAATAAACTCTTTAGAAGTTGGGCAACATTTTAAAATGAATTGTTTTGCATTCAACCAGTTGTGAAGAATCTACAGCAGTCAAATCCTGCCGATTCCTGTGAACAATCCAGTCTGGAGATTCTGTGGGATATATTGATTATTCAGCTATGCTTGGGATTTGGGGGAGTTAGGCATGGGTTACCCACAGCCTGCTCCTAGGGAAGGAGTATTTCATGCAGCTCACAAGAATCTTTCATGATTGATGGTTAAGGGACTATTGCCAGGTTCAGCAGGGAATCACTTGTAGTGCAATGA